ACATAGAGGAAGTAAAGGGTGGGAAAGGGTCAAAATATGTCAACAGAGTGCTGAAGGGGTAACGCTTTTGATATTATTAGGTGTTTGGATGTTTAGCTACCGATTAACCATATTTTTATCTTTTAGTAACTGGTAACCTCGGGTTAGTAAAAACGCCAAATGACCCAATTGAAGCCGAAACCACTATCCTATTATCGCTTTTTGGTTTGCTGGTTAACTTATTTTCATTGGTTTTTCGGTTAACTGACAGCCGTTTATCACTCCCTAGATGTGGGCGCCACCACAAGTGGGATTCGAGGGTGGCAGTGGCGGTTTATAGTCAAAATTGGACCCAGAGGATTGGAAATCAGGGTCGTCTAAAATCAAATTAGTTTTGAATAGAGGGTAGGGAGGCCTAACTGGCCTTTCTAGGGAAGCGGCTGCATCTCTGCCAACGGATGTGAATTCAAACTCTCTTTCTTCTTTTTCATCCTCTTCATCGTCTTTGCTCAGTCCATGATGCGACGTCATTTCAATTTGCATTCATTGTCTTCTTCTTCTTCCTCTCATGAGTAAAAGTCAAGGACAGACTCGTTGTCATGGGACTAAAATCGGTTTTTGTGGTTACATGTGAGAGAGAGAGAGAGAGAGAGAGAGAGAGAGAGAAGTGAAGGAAGAGAAGCAACATAGAAGTGTGAAGTTGTGAAGAAATCGAAACCTAACTCGTTGGTCATCATCTGGCGCTCGCTCCGAAGCAGAGGGATGTCACCGCAGGGCATGCATGGTGTCTCCGTTGAGCCTCCTTGCAAACCCTAAAATTTTGGGCCATTGTTTTTTGTTTTGAAATTTTCTTTCAATAAAAATTCATATTTAAATATGATCTGGCGGCCAGGTAGAATGACATAACGAGTTCGAGTTGATGTGGGAGTCGAAGTGGGGACGCGTTAAGGTGGTTACTAGAATTATAGTAGCCACCGTGGCTGCACTAGTATCCACCATCTATTTTTCACTTTTTTCTATTTTTTTTAATCTCACGGTTAAGATTGTCCAGGACAATTTTGGAAGAAAACATAAAACCACACCTGATTATTCTATATATTCTACCCTAACCCTAATTATACTCTCTCGCTCGATCCAAACCCTTCGTAAGTTCTCCCTCCTCCCTATCCCAACCCCGGCTGCCGTCCCCATCTCCAACTTCCATCCTCCTGTCGCCGCCGTCCCCATCTCAAACTTCCTCCCTGCCCTCTCTCTCCCCTCCCCCACCCCACCCCTCCTCCTCACCTGCAAAACCCACTCCACCCACAACCCCCCGCCTCTTCATTCCCCTATATCTCTCCTGCAAATGACGGCTAAAAAACATAAAGAAATTGGGGGTATTGACTAGAGAATATAGGACTAGATGGTTGCTTTGAAGGTTTCACTCACTCACCGCGCAATCTCTCTCCCACACAGGCGGTTGGAAAAGGTGGAATGAATAAAAACGTTATATCTGATTTTTTCTGCATTGGTAGTGATTTTTTTGTAGTGGTAGTATTTTTTTCGCATTGGTATTGTTTTTGTCGCATTGGTATTGATTATCATGCAATGGTATTAATTTGCATGTATTGGTATTGATTAAATCTGCAATGGTATTGATTTTTTGTGAAATGGTATAGATTTATATTGGTAGATTGTTTATATTGGTAGTTTTCATGTAATGGTATAGATTTATTTTTGCAATGGTATTGTTATTTTTCAAAGTGGTAGTGGTTGTCTAATGGATTGGTAGTCATTTCGTGTGTTTTTTTTTGCAGAAAGATTGAGAAAATAAGGAAATGGGATTTGCCTGGAGATTATGGAAGTGAGATAAAGAGATAGAATTGTAATTAATAGAGTCTTGTAATTACATAAAATGTAATTTATTAAAATAATTAATTAAAATAATTTATTTTTCATATTCAATTTAACCTTAGTAACCAAGGTGATTACTACAATCACCCTAACCTGTCATCCAAATGAACATCTCTTAAATATTACACTATTAAAATTTTAATGAAAATGTCTGAAGTTATTACAAAATATCCCAAATTTGATTGAATTCGTGTATTATTCAATTGTTATCACTTATCACAGAGTGCGAAGTTATGTGTATCGACTCTATTTTGCCTAAATTTTTTGGCTACAGAATATACTATTCTCCCCTTTTCCACCCGCGGCGATTGTGACTTGTGAGTGGAGTTTTAATTTTAACTTCCCTTCCTTTTGTTTTCTTATTTCATTTCGGTTTTCCCCTAAAATCGGTTTCATTGTTCGTGAATCTATCAAACTCCTCGTCCTCGTAGATTCGATTTCACCATCAACACCGGCCAACTCCCTCAGATCGACGTTGCTTTCCAACCTGGAGATCCCCCAGATGCCATAATCAGGTAAAGCTTCCACCTGTTTATCTCTCTTTCTTTCTCTCGATTGCCGCCGAAATCGTTAGCTAAATTATCTCCGAGCGCCGGTGCTTGATCTTTCCATCCATTTTCCGAGTTTCTCATTCGATGGGTTGTTTTGATAGATCCTTTTGTTGCAGATGCTTTCCCTTTATCGATCGACATTGTCTGGCTCTCTTTGTTAAAATTCTGTTTATTAGGGTCCAGAATTCTTTGCTTCTGTTTCTGTTGATGTTGTTGGGATACCTGGCAATCGATACCTCTAAAGTTTCGTCTGGGTTCTTGAATGATGAAGTTTTTTAGCTGTTTTCTCGAATGTTTAGCTCTGGCTTCTTGTGATTCTAGTTTCATTTGGTGAAAATGATGCCTTGCATGAAAGCTTTGTCTAGAACTTTGCTGCTATATTGCTATACGCCTTTCTATCTCAATCGAGTACAAGCCTGTGTGGTAGAGAAAGTTTAACGCTGTCTTTGTTTTGGTATGCTTGATGCATTGTAGTTTATCATACATATCTGAGGAAGTAATAGGTAGAAGATGGTGAAGCTTACTATGATAGCGCGTGTTACGGATGGGCTTCCACTTGCTGAAGGCCTGGACGATGGCCGTGAAGTCAAAGATGTTGAATTGTACAAACAGCAAGTCAAGGCCTTGTTCAAGAATCTTGCCAACCGCCCGAATGAGCCTTCGAGGATGTCGGTTGAGACTGGCCCTTATGTATTCCAGTATCCTACAGCTCACACTCAGTTAATAATGTTTGCAACATGTAGTTGTTTATTCAAAAATACTGTATTCTGACCGTTAGGCTTATTAACCTGCTTGTGTTATTGATGGATGGACCTCGGTAGATGAATTTGAGACACTAGATAGACTCACCCTTTTCAAATGACAGAGTGAGTCTTTAAAGAAGCAGACCGGTAAAGTAATTTCTTCATTGTTGTATCCATTTAAGTTGTTTAGCGAAGCCTAAATTTTTGACTGCTTGATGATAGTTTAAGTGACCCAATTTTGTGTTGCTTATGTGCATTTGCAGAGTGTTATACTTGTGGCATAATTTCTTTTTTTGAAGTGATTCTTTTCTAGCATTTTCCTTGACCGGATGGTCTAGTTATATTATCGAGGGACGAGTATGTTACCTTACTATGTGCGACCGTGCATATCCGAAGAAACTCGCCTATCAATATCTTGAAGACTTGAAAAATGAATTCGAGCGGGTCAATGGGCCTCAAATCGAAACTGCTGCAAGACCTTATGCGTTTATCAAGTTTGGTGAGCCCTCTTAACCTTATTTCTGCAAGTTTTGCATGTGCTCTGTCTTCGTGTTGAAAATTGTTTTATGTGCTGTTTCTGCAGATACTTTTATCCAGAGAACAAAGAAACTGTACCAAGACACACATACACAGAGGAACATTGCCAAGTTGAATGATGAACTGTATGAAGTCCACCAGATTATGACTCGTAATGTGCAGGAAGTTCTTGGAGTTGGTGAAAAGCTTGACCGTAAGTTTCCTGAGTTCTTGCATGCTATTATCGCTGTTTATTAGTAGTTCCATAAACAACAAATTTTGTGTTTTATCTGTATGATAACCGCGTACATATGTGAATTCTGCAACACTTATGGTTTTTTGGTGGTGGAAAGGATCTTCCTGCATTTAATGACTGTTAATTCCTCTCATTTGGCGTACTGTAGGAGAATTGTCTTATATGTATATTTGGTCATATTGCAGAGGTGAGTGAAATGTCCAGCCGACTAACATCAGAATCTCGAATATATGCTGACAAGGCTAGAGATTTGAACCGACAGGTTTGTTTCTCCAGATTATTCCCTACTTCAAAATCTATCTCTTGATCATGCTGAACCATAATTTGCAAGATTCTTGATGAACGGTGTAGTTATTGCAAGCTGCATATATGTTCCAAGCTGACTTCTTGTCTGCTGTATGTGTTTCTTGGTGCAGGCGTTGATTCGGAAATGGGCTCCAGTTGCAATCGTGTTTGGAGTCGTTTTCCTCCTCTTTTGGGTCAAAACCAAGATCTGGTGATCCTGCATTCCAGATATTGTTTGCACAGACATGCTGGGTTTCTCGGCATTGCTATCGGTTTGCTTATGTTCATGTGGCGATTTTTCCAACTTGAGAGACAGATAGAGAGAATGGAAATGGAGACATGTAACCACCCAAGGAAGGAATTTCTGGTTTAAGTAGTTGCCTCACCAATTACCCCATAGGAACAGTGTAAAAGAGAGACCCTTGTTGAACAGGCTTAAAAGGGTACACAACGTCCTGAGCTTAATTAGTTTTATGCACTAGTGATAGTGATGCATTGTTGGTTCATATTTCTACAGTTACAAGGTTACAGGCATCGACTAGGTGCAGTAATCTGGGAGGATTCATTGTCTGTCCGAGTCGTCCTCCCCCTTCTGTATGTGCTCATCAGAACTTCTCATGTGCTGTCTGCATAGCTTTCGTCACAGTTTGCTCGCCAGACCCATAAACCGGTCTTCTAAACCAAAATGAGTTTGATGATTGGATTTACATGTTCAGGAAAGAAATTTGAGACCTGGGCAAAGAAAAGCTGCAATGGCAATTCTGGGATCAATGAACATCACTTGTAAGGTGCAAACAAGGTTGTAGAGTTTTGGCCTGCGAAACCAAATGAATTGGATAATGCCACTTTAATCTCCAGCCTCTCCTTTCTCGTCCCAACCAGCACATCCTTGTCCTAAAGCCATCACAATAAAATCAAGTAGCTCCACAATAATGGTTTCTTCCAAAGCAATGAATCAGTGTCTGGTATTCTGTTAGTCTCCTGTTCGAGTCAATGATGCATTGACCATTCACATAGTTCACATCCTCTCTTACCATGCCAGACTGAGCCAATGCCCTCTCTATGCAGATTGCAGTTCCAGTTCCTGTTTTAATGTTTCAGCCAGAGTCAAATAAGATCATTAAGGAGTTCTAAAGACTAAGCTCTGAGCTGAAGGGTTTGTTTGTTTGTTATTTACCATCTGGGTGGGGCAGAGTCAAGTGATGAGCATCAAAACTGATGCTCCCTCCATGAAACTCTGCATAGATTTTGGCTCCTCTTGCCTGACATTATCTATCAGAAGAGGGCGGTAGGTGAGAACCATCGAACATGTGAAATTCGCAATGCATGTGAGCATTTACCTTAGCATGCTGCAGCTCTTCTGACAGCAGCACACCAGCTCCTTCTCTCAACACAAAGCCATCACCATCCTAGCTACAAATTACAGAAATCTCACACTTCTCAAAACTTCTTTGTCTGTAGGCTATTTACAATCCAAATCAAAATGGTAATCGAGGGTTTCCTAAGCTGTTTAACGGTTTCCAAATAGATTTCAGCATTTCTGTCATCACCAAAACGGATCATGAATGAAAAGCTTACGATGTCTCACAGTACCGATTGGAATGATGACACCAGCAGAACCACCACAGAGCATCAAATCCTGCAGAAGAAATAACAATGGTTGAACTAGCCACACCACAATTGATCAGGTCTTTTCGGGAAGGAGTTTGGCTTGTGCAGACTCACAGTTTCTCCTCTGATGATGTGATTTGCAGAGCTGAGGATGCAGAAGTTGCCAGTTGCACATGCTGAAGAGATTGAGTAATTGGTCTCTATCCATCCCAAGTCCATAGCTAGCTTGGCAGAAGCAATGTTTGTGGTCGAGAATGGGACACGGAAATTAGGATTCATCTTCTTATGTGAATGACTTGATTTCTCCTGCAATCTTCTGCATTAGCACAGCAATAACAACTCAATTTCCAAGGAGCTCCATCAACAAACTTTGTTAGTCCAGGCCAATTATGCTAGGCCCAATAAACAAACTTTGTTAGTCCAGGCCATTTATGCTAGGCCCAATCCAACCAATTGAAATGGACCTAATATCCTCTTTGGAAGTCCACTGCGCCACCAGTTTAAATTTCGTGCCAAAAGTTTCGTCTTCCCAAGGCTCTTCGTTGTTTACTGCGCCAATTATCATTAGCAACGCTAATAAGTACTAACGACTAGTAACCTACTTTCCACCTTTCAAAATTTCAAACCCCCATTGTTGTGTTCCCAAATTTCGCCATCTCAGAAGAAGAATCTCAATCTCCAATGGCGACGATTGAGCAACAACAGCTCAAGGACCAACGTCTCCGAGGGCAGGACCGAGAAGTTGAAGAAGAACTAGAAAGAGACGACGATTATAATGTAGGCGGCGAGCGATCAGAATCCGATTCATCTGACCTAGATTGCTGCGATTCGGACTCCGATTCCAGTTACAACGCTTTGGACGAGACGAATCGCAAGCTCTCTTCCCTTTCCATAAGGAAGAAATCTCGGACACGGTTGGTTTTTCTTTGGGCTTTGTTACTCCCCTTCGATTCTTGAATTTAGCGATGAAAAGGAAATTGTGGGTTTCATCTTTTGGCGGACATTTTTTTCTCTCTTGTTGCTGTTGCAGCCTTGCGAGAGATTGTGGAGTGGAAGGGAACTCTAGGGAGATTGAGGTGAATGGGGATGTGGTTGCTAAATTGGTGGAAGGTTAGTACATGCGTCACAAGAAATCTCTGCTGCTGAAGTTTAATGATTAGTACTGAGAGGGCTTGCTTTTTTTGGGGTTAAAAGATGGTTCTGGCAGGGTAGAAAGATGGAGAAACATTTTTCTTACTTGATGTTAAGCATCCTCACCGTTGATCTATTGGGTTGGAGAGTCGGTAGATTATAAAATGGCTGTTTAAAACAGAACTGTATCTTTTCAACCTGCTTAGCATCAAAATATAACTGTAGAATGTTTGATTGAGCTATCTTAAGTCGAATGCTAAATCTCCCCATTGAGTACTGTTTAGAACTGTAAATCGAGTTGTAAATTGGAATGGAGATCAGGACTTCGGGTTCCCTATCGCTGTAATTGATTTCATTTTATTTTATTGTGATCATGTGGAGCAGCTGGGGATGTTGAGAAGCTGAAACTAGACCAATGTAAAGCTTACTTGAGGAAGCATGGACTGCGATTGAGTGGCTGCAAAAGCACGCTCATTCAACGCATTAAGGAGCATCAAGAGTAATGAACTGATGCTTATATGTTCCATGAGGATTGTGTTTTCCGAAAGCTTTTGTTAATGTATGGTGTTGCCTTGCAGGATTTCTGGTGGTAGAGGCGAGGAAAAGTATCCCCTGTCCAGCTTTGTAGTAAATTGTAAAGGTATAACAACATGGTGATGAATTTGATTTGCATTGTATGCATACAGCCAGCTTGAGTGCAATAGAGTAGAACATTAACTTTTTAATATTTATCTTTGCACTTACAAGTTTGGTCTAAGTTACTATCTACCCTAGGAACCTGCATTGGTCGCCCAACCCCTTCGTCTTATTCATTGTTACATAATTACAGACTGCAAACTTGGGCGTTGACATTGTCTTCTGAAATAACATTTGGTTTTGATGTAGGTGACGCGTGCATGGGTGATATCGTTTTGTTTGAACAAACTGTGTATGACATGTAAGTCATCAAACAATGTTTCCTTTGGGAAAACTAATGATGAAGGCCAGCTTATTTGTGGGTACCACAATCAGGTTTGATAAAAATGGATTGTACGTGTCATTTTTAGGTATAATGTTGCATCACGGAGTGCCAGTGGTCCTCCCTGTGGCAAGAGAACTGTTGCAGGGAGAATTGTGAAAGAGAGCTACGGTGCAGCCAAGCAACAGCATACTTTTACGGTACATCATATTATCAGCTTCTTGCATTTTGAAACTGTCGAGTGAACTGGTGGCTGCTTTACTTTTCTGGATATATATGTTTTATTGGAGGGGAGTTGAATGAATTATAGAATGAGATAGACGTCATTAGACCACAGCCAATCCTCCTGTTGTGCTCCCTGCCAATGGCCTGTTTAGGTTGTTGCATGACTGTTTTAGGTCCTCCTGTTGTGCTCCCTGCCAATGACCTGTTTAGGTTGTTGCATGACTGTTTTAGGTAGATAAGTTCTTTGCACCAGAACCAAACTAAAACTTCTGACTTGTCTGATCAGGTGGAGGTCTTGTGGAGCAAAGGCGAAAAGCCACTCCCTCCACTTCATCCCCTCCTCATTAAAGGTCGGAATTTGTACAGATTGAAGACCTTGAGACAGGTGATGACATCATGTTTTCCGTTCCATTTTGCTTCCAGTTCAGCTTATTACTACTCTCAAGTGATACTTGACCTTTCCAGTGTGAAAATAACTTCCGTTTTTCCTAATTTAGAAATGGAAAGATGAAGAAGAACGGACTAGAGTTCTGATGGAAAAGCACTCAAGGGGCTCTCTTGCTAGATCTGATAGAGAAATCAGAATCGGAGTGAAAGACAAGAAGAAACAAATGGTGAAAAAGGGAAGGTACGGAGAAACATGTTTCTGTTCCATAATTTTTGTTTCTTTTATCCTTGTTGAATATTTGTGGTCTTCTGTACCATAGGGTCTCGAGGAAGAATCCAAATGAGAACCACCCTGATTCAGTAATGGTGGATTTGACAGTCCAACATTCTAGTGTAGTTGCTAACTCAGAAGCTATGGCAACTCTTGGAAAAAATTCTGGGAAGGGAACAAATCAAGATCTGACATTGGCAGCATCCATCCAACCTCCACGTTTTCGAGCAGCCACTCATGCAGCTCACATGGAAGTCAAACCTGAGAAGGCTACAGTTCTACACCCTAATTCAGGACAGTCCAATGGCAATGACACTATTGTAAAGGAAGAAAGTAGTAGACATCAGAACTCATATTACCCTCAAGAAGATTCAATCCGGCATCAAAACTCCAGGATATCTCTTCCCAAGTCAAGTAAGGTAATAATACCTCAAGCTGGCCTGCCTAGGAACCAAACCCAGAAGCATGAAAGTCACAGGCGAGATCAAGTTCCTCTAGACTCCGTGATGTATTCTGATGTTTTCAGCATGCAGAGGAATTACGACCGTTCTTGTTTTGATAAGTATCAACACATGAGTTTTAGGAGGGAAATGTCCCCGACTAAAAACTATGACAGGAGCTTCAGGAGGGAACTGTCGGCTGCAAACTATAACAGACAACCTTTTTCACTACTGGATAATGGCCTTCCACGAATGCCGTACCATGGACAACGAATCAACCGTAAACTAGAACTATGTAAGTACTATGCTAGGGGAAGATGCTATTTTGGAGATGATTGCAAATTCTCACACCAGCGAGACGAGGTGCCATATGGTCATAGGGAGCAACATTATGACGGAAGATTATATTCATGAGATCGTTCCTAGTTGACAATGGGATCGATGTGAGTTCAGGGTCACACCAGCTGAACTTGGCGATTTGTATGGACTATTATCTTCTTTCCTTTTCATTCTGTTGGACTGTTTTTGCAAAAGTTGAAGTCCATTTGTACCAATTCTCTGTTGCATGAATGCAACTGATTTTGTTGTTGGGTATCCCATCTTTTTGAAGATTTTAGTGATGATGAGTTTGAGAGGTGTTTGGACTTTGGAGACAATTCGCAAATGCAAATTCTAGAAAATTTTTACATTATATATAATTGTTCTCAGATTTGGCCTACATTAGAGAAGGGCAGGGCCGTACTCTGAGGACTCTCCACCTACATCAGTCCTATTCTTTGTTTTCTTCTGATCACAGGTTGAACCACCTACTCCAGTCCTTTCTTTTGAATTGAATCATTTACATTCTCATGAATTCCTTACTTACCTTGCCCTTCAAGTGTGTCTGGATTGCTTTGTCGATTCCCACCATTTCTTGAGCAACTCTGGTAACCATATCCTTTTTGGTTGCGTGATTTGCCTATTCCTTTGAAGGGAATACTCAACTAGGAAGATGGTAAACATTGAAACTTGCAGTGTAAGGAAGGAATAATACAGTACCTTCAAAACGACGATGCAATATTTTTTGTTCACATGCTTGATTAACTCTCTTTCGCAGCCATGAAAGCCCTGGAAGTAGGTGTTGCAGGTGCTTTTGTCCCTATCATGCAACTCCCCAGTTGGATTACAGTCCTGCCACCATCACTGTTGTGGAAGAGGTGCACTGTAACAACCTCAACTGAATTCGATGGATGGATGAAAATTCATTAGCAGCTGAGATCCTCCTTGTCGAAATGCAGGTGGTTAACTCTGTGAAAGGGAAGATCCTGGTGATCGAAGTGAGGAGAGGCACTGGCATTGGGAGCACAACGAATCCTCATAAGCTTCCATCAGTATAAACCAGTAACATGTCTCATCTTCACCTTCCTACTACATTGCTCGCAGATTGAGGGGCCGGTACTATATGGGTTGGCTGCAAAGGGAGAACAAGGGGCGAGGGAAGTGATTCAGACGATGAAGAATGAGTTCGAGCTCACGATGGCGCTTGCTGCTGTCCTAGCATCAATGACATTACAAGGAGCCATGTAAGAACCGAGCGTCCTGTGTGCTCTATGTTGCACCGTGCTATTGGTTCTCTATTACCGTGGCTTCAGGGTGACCATTTTGATACTAGAAACACAAGTTTCAAATGCAAATTATGTAATGTTACATTCTTACACTGCAGAACCGATTCTGTCTTCTTCTAAATTTGGGCTAGAATAGATGGCAGGTAAGCCATGCGTTTGTAGCCAAGAGATAATGACAGAGATCTTGCACTTAATTTCAACCATCATGGAAAAAGTAAAGAGCTCCTTGACCTTGAGCTGATATTGAGACACTTGCAAATGCTAGTAATTTGTTTTTCTCCACTATTTTCCAATCATAATTTTTTTTATACTAACCTGTATCCATTTTGTCTCAATTAATTCAATATTTTTTAATTGATTTCAATAATACTTCCAATTATTTTCAGGTAAAATAGCGTTACTATTTTGAAGACTAGTTTTCGGTTATTGGTTATGTCTTATTGCAAAATTGTTTCAATTGGATCCGTTACAATTTGTAAATAAATTTACATAAACTTATTAAAAAAATAATATTATACATGACTTGTCGTACACAAATTATATGTATTGTTGATTACAAAATGATTTTGTATACATAATTAATTTTTTAGGACAAGAAACAACATAATACAAAATAATAATATTATACAAATACTCATGTTCGAATAGCTAATCTAAAAACTTTTAAACAGGCAATGCATTTCAAAATGTGTACATAACCAAATATTTATATTTCCCAAATATCTATATTTAAAGTCATTTGGAAAATACAACACCTAGATTATTAAACAAGAAATAACAAGTTTCTGATTCCCCCTTTCTGAGCTGCAACACAAACTAAAGTAAAGATTGAGCACACGCTACACATTGTTACCAGAGTTGCTCTTGTTTACCCCTTGGAGCTCCATAGGAGAGTTTGTGATACTTCCAATGGAGTTAACAGTCTGAGAACTCAACTGCGGACTGGCAGGGCAACCCTCCGGGTTACCGCCGCTCATGGCGTGGATCGCCCCTGAGCTTATCTGTGGACTCATAGGAGTTCTGGCCATTTGCTGCGGGCTAGGATGCTGTAGGGGTTGCTGCTGCTGCTGCTGCAGCCCTATGGTCGATGGTGAGCCCACTTGAGAAGGCGAAACAACACCCTGAAGCGACTGAAGCGACGATGTCGATTCTGGCTGCTGCTGTAGCTGTTGCTGCAACTGCTGCGGCTGTAACTGCAACTGCTGATTCTGCTGCTGCTGATTCATGAACATATTCATTCCGGCCATCAGCTTCGGCGGGCCCATGGGGTTCATTGCGCTCCTTTGCTGCTGCATCTGGCCCATGTTGGTCCTGTTCATGGGCTGACTCATCATGGAAATCCCAGCTGCGGCAGCAGCATTGGGGAGGGTCATCTGCCTAATGCCGGGAGACATTCCAGCAACACCTGACCGCTGGTTTAGCCTAAACTTCGTCGTCAGGTAAGCAGCCTGCTGCGGTGTCAACTGTCCCGAACGTAACTGCTGGATAGCGGCGATGTTCTGCTGTGTCTGGCCAATGTTCATCGGGTTCTGGCCCATATTCATCGGTCCAGATATTCCAGGACCCGCGAGCCCCCTCGCAGCTCCCATAGCCATCGCATTTCCTAGCGTTCCTAGCCCCACCATGTTGTTTCCCATTCCCATATGCCCTCCTAGCCCCATCATCATTTTCCTCTGCTGCAACTGCTGTTGTTGCACCTGAAGTTGGGTCTGCTGTTGTTTGTTAACCATTTGACCAGCCAAGTGCATGTTGTTCGAGTTCTGGCCTATAGCAGCATTTAAATGGGAGAGTTGATTTGATGGAAGCGCCATCTGTTGTGTCCTCTGAAGCTGCTGTTGATGCTGTTGTTGCTGAAGTAAAGCATTTTGGTTTTGTTGTTGATGCTGTTGCTGTTGCTGCTGAACGGATATTGGAGCATCAAGTTGCTGCTGTGGTCGAGATGGCGAGGCACCAGACGAGAGACCTTGAGACATCTGTAAGGCCTGAGAGTTCCCAGGTGGTAGCATTCTTGGATTCAGGGATTGATTTACAGAAACAATGCCGCCATTTAGAGCCGGCTTCACATCATTTGAGGCGGCTTGCTGAGCTGCGACAGTTTCGTTGTATTGTTGTTGGTGCTGTTGCATCTCCAGCGTCGAATTGTTGCCCGTCAGAATTGGCGGTTGACTACTCAATGGAATATTCAACATCCTTGTTGGTTTTTGTTCAATGTGATTCTCCACGAGATAGCCATCACGGCTCATCTGCATATATTAAAAAAAGAAACACCTCAGAATCATTAACCAGGAAATAGGATCAGAAATATCATTGAAGTCAGATGTTTATCTTTTACTTACCAATGTGCAGAATTGTTTTGCAAGCAAATCGGCGTGATGCTGCAGGAGAACAAAGATATGGATCAGAGCATGTCATCTTATGAAAAAAGAAAAGGCAACCTATGCAGTACCACGTGAGATGGAAAATAATACGAAAATAATCACTCAATCGTTTATTTCAACCAAATACATAGGTTGTTTGACTGATGGATTTACCGTGATGGATTATGTCCAATCCACGGCTAAATAGATTCTTTGGCTTATAAAGAAAAGCAATAGATTTATAAATCAAGAACTTGATGGATTTCAGCAGACTCGGCTACAGAGTGTGGAAGAGGCTAATTGGTAGACGGGCCATAGAGGTTGGACTTGGGCAAGCGGGAGGCAGATTACAGTTACAGGGAGGAGATGAGGGATTCTCGATCTGTCATATGAAGGAGAAAAAGGGTGGAGTTTTTTTTTCTTTCTTTTTGTGAGGGGCGAAGGGGCTCTGTTAGAGGCTGTCGTGGATAGCTTCTAATTACAGGAAGGAGAACGTTGCAGTGGGTTAAATCTAAAAGCCCATTCATATTTTTAAGAGATTGCGGGACACACAATCTACTTACCATAATCCAGCTTAAAATTCCATCAACCAAGCAATAGATAACAAGAAAATCCACATTTCATAAATCCTTCTTGCTTCCCAAAAGCATCTAGTTATCAAAATCCATCAATTCGGAAATTCATCCGCCAAACAACCCCCAACTCTTAACAGCTACAACAGCTATGCAGAAAAGATTTGAATTATGTTTCAGGATAGTGGAACTTGTAGGAAGATCTTTTTTCATGAATAACTTGTACTGAAGATCTCGAGTTTAGTCAAATTACATTTTTTTATGAACATTCGATGATCAAGAAAATCTGTGTTCGGAACGAGTTAAAAATTATAACTTGGAATTCAACATGCCAGCAAGCTATAAAGGAAAGCACACAGAGGCCTTTATCACAAACAGACTTACGGTATTAGGTAATGTAGGAAGATACTCCTCGGCAGAGAGAATATCGCCATCCTCCAGGTCTCCATAATGCATAGCCACAGTACCATCGCTTGACTTCTCCATCAAGACCATCCTAGCACGTGCCTTTGGGACATAAGCAACAACATTTCCTGCATAAAATAAGGAGAGGAATGAAATAGCCGATACGTAATAAAAGGTTCACCGCAATCTTTCCAGAATTCATTTTGCAAGACATGAAACAGACCTTGAAGCACTCGTTCACCTTGCATAAAATTCATAACTCTCATCTTGGGAGCATTCCTGCTGCCACCAACGAGTGAATTCGATAATTGCCTTTCTTCAGAGTCATCTTTGAAATCCTCGTTATTTGATGGATTGGATAGGCAAGCCGCAAGAAGCTGAGGATTACATATGTTTGGCTTCCTTGGGTAGTCATCCACTTTGTTCTTTTTACAGTGCAGTTTATGCCTGGAACAGAAGAAACAAAATTGGCTGAGGAAGTCGATAGCGGGCAGCAAGATTGATTTTCACATTGCATCACCAGCTTTTTTGTAGTAAACATAAGAACCATTTTGAATCCAGAATAGATATCCATGCAATGAGGAAAAAACGTCCATGCAGGGGTAATCAGAAAAGGTGTCATTCAACTATACGGACTTTTGCAATGAAACCACTATATTCAGTTTTTATGTAAATAAAGCAATGAAGCAAGATATTTGATGTGCAGTTAGTCACTCCTTTCATTTTTGTCATCGAAAGCTGAAATCCAACTTTAAATTTTATCTTTAGTCCCCTGAAGTTGAAATTTATTCGAAGTACCATTGGGAACTTTTCACAAACCAACTCATCGACAGATCTAAACTTTTAAGCCAAGTCCAATGACAATTAGTTTATTTTACCAGTCAATGCAGCAGGAGTATTTTGTGATAGACTCAAGTTATTGAATCCAGCAAATACAATGCTTTCAAAGTAAAGAGTCTACCTTGAAGCCACCATCTCAAGCTTTGCAAACCTTTCGAGAACAACTTGATCAGCCAACTGTGCTGCTCCAACCATAGGACTAGCAGCGTTCATGTTTCCAACACTTGCTGGAGAGGCGACTCCACTCATAGCAGCAGTGGTCCTGGGTACAGAATTTGACTTCCGCTTGCTCACAACTTGAGCCGGCTGCTGATGCTGACGTGGCAAGGAGTCATTGACACTGGAATTCAAAGATGCTGCCGCCCTAGGAGTTGAGGTAACTGCCGACTTGTCCTTCTGCGATGAACCAAGAGCAGCAGTTGCTGCAGCAACTGCTCCAATGTGGAGCCCAGCTGAGTTACTCGAGAATTCCCCAGATCTAGATGACAATGGAGACTGAGCCAAAGCACCTGCAGATAGGAGTGGTTCACCGAAAAGCCGATATGGACTTAATGAAATATATAAACTGATTTTACAACAAAAGACAGTTCAAAGATTATTTAACCACTCCAGTTACCGTTTAACCGAATAATTAAACCCCAATAGTAACCCCTACCTCCTGATACACGAGGACTTTGTGCTGATTTCCTCTTTGGAACCTGCTGATCCTCCTTCCTTGTCTCTTGTCCGAAATTGCTCCATGCTGTTGCCGGAGGGAAATTCGGCCTCATCATATGCTGAGGCAGTCTTTCCATCTGCATATCACTCTTATTACCCTGACTGAGCTCTGATCCTCCATCAAGCTTTTCCGGATCAAACTGCTCTTCCTTCGGACCAAATCTCTGATTGGTGACCCCTTCAAACATTTGTGGGTACTTTTGGATCCCGACATTATTACCATACTGCA